GGCTTTCTTATCTTATCTAATCATTATTTCCTATCTTGTTCATTTCGGTTTTGCAGCTGAAGTGATGGTTCGGTAAACCATCGAAACTAGTCTGTGAAAATTTTTAGTATAACTGATTTTTGTTGTTTGATTCTAATTAGTATTTATTCGGCGTGTTATTGTGTATAATAAAAAAAAAAAACATTCGCAAATGTATAGGTTAAGTACGAATAAGAACTTAAAAGAAATTTAGAAATCTATAAAAGGTAAGGAAAGTTTTTATGTTACTTTATTAGAGATAATAGTGAAGCACTAAATATTTCAATCAATGCTATGAGTATACCTTTATTCATTTAAAAAATGGCCCACCAGCGGTCGAGCGGTAAAATCGCTGAACACTGGTAGTTCCGACCTGAGTTTCGATCTCAGGCAAACGGGTTGGCTTCATAAGCGTTTCGTGGTTTTTTTTCCCGTACCAGCTTACAAGCCAGCTTACCACGTACCATACGAGCCAGCTTTCCTAAGAAAGTGCTCTACGAAGGCATTTTTCCTTTAGGCACATAGCCCCAGTGTGTTTTTGTCATAATCAACTAAACCAAATCATTTAAGAAATATATCAGTTGATCACTGCTCAGTGTACATCTGCTGTTTGCTTATAAAAACACTTTGTAAAGACGTTTCCACTATTTTGCTAATAATTCTGGAAGGCTCATAGAATCCGAAATTATGTTACACTAACATCCGAAATTATGTTACACTAGCTAACAGAGAACTTAAGTCTGCTTAATACAACAAAATCTGCTTGACTTGCTTTCGTGTCTTTGGGAAACGTAAGTATATGCAGAAATAAATATTAAAATCTATCACGTATATTTGTAAGGATGTAAAGCATACTGTTTTGGTTCACGATAATGATAAATATGCATCATGTTACGACAGTTTTAAAAGATCACAAATAACTATACATATGCTAGACTTCTAACAAAATTTCTGTTACAATATGAATATGCATTTATTATTATATGAGTCGTAAAACGGCCCACCAGCGGCCGAGCGGTAAAGTCACTGGTAGTTCGGTCCGAGGTTCGAATTCCCGCGAACGGTCCGGCTACATGGGTGTTTTCGTGGTTTTCCCCATGTGTAACGTGTATACGAGCCAGTTTTAGTTTCCCTTAGAAAGTCCTCCACGAAGGCATCCCCCCTTAGGCAGATAGCCATAGTGTGCCTTGCCATAATTAAATACACCCATACACACATGAGTCGTAAAATTCAGTATTCGTCATTTTTAGATTCTAGGTATATGACAATTTTTTTTTTTTAATTTTCGTTTTGTTTTTAAAAATTAATTCACTTTATAGCTTTTCTTCAATTTATTATAAAGGAATAGGAGTTTAAATTTTGATTTATATATAATATGATATAAATTCATCATTCATTAATAATATTTTATGTATAACAAAAAATTATCATTAATGTTCCAAAATTTTAATTTTTTTAATGATTTGTCTTACATTTGTTGTATATTTGTTGAATGCATAGCTAAATATTTCAATTATACACAATAAAGGTTATGCAGAAAACAATTCAGCTGGCATGATAGCTAATTGCGAAAGAAAAATTAGAGTCTTATTGCTCTTAACTCTTAGTACAAGCAGCCATTTTTAAATTGACGTTAAAATAAATTTATTCTATGGTCTATTAGAAAATAATTATACTGAATCATTTATTGACGACTTCTAAGAGGTCGCTTTCTGAAAGAAACCTGTATTTTTGAGAACATAAACATACGTTGATATTGAACATCACTTTTTTAAGATGCCAGAGCAAATGCACAGAGCTCCAAAAATCCTCTAAAAAGCATAGACGGTCACGTTTTAAAAGGCTGACTACTTTTAATAAAGCTTGTATATTAATGTTCATTATACATTTCTCACATTTTTACTTTCTTTCAAAACAGCGATGCTGTGGTTCAATTGCTTTAGAACTATGTGAAACTAATAAAATGGGCCCTATGTTATAAAAACCTAATTATATTCAGATACACACCTTTTGAACATGTTTGAAATCTATTATTCTAATCAGAATACTTTGTCTACAGAAAACATTGAATCAATATTAGAAATCAAAAGCTAAGTGAGATTAAAGTAGGAAGAGTCATATCGTCTAACCCATTTTAATTGAAGTAAACAGGTGCTTACTTTATCGTAAAGTGAACACCCGTTTTTTCAAACAGCGAATGAAAAGAAAAAAAGAGCCCACCAGAGCTCGAGCGGTAAAGTCGCTGAGCACTAATAGTTCGGTCCGGGGTTCAATTCCCGGCTAACGGCTAGCTGCACGGGCGTTTTCATTGTTATTCCCGTGTGTAACTTGCATATGAGTCAGTTCCCTTTAAAAAATCCTACCACGAAGGCCTCCCTCCCCGTAGGCAATAGCCCTAGTGTGCTTTGCTGTAACCGAAATAAACCGAAACCGAAAAAAAAAAAAAAAAAAAGGGAATTGGTGGTGGAAGGCAGCGACGAAACGTCGTTTTAGAAGAATGGGCTACATAACCAAATTTCTATCCATACTCTGGTAAACAGTACATTATTTGCTCATCAAAAGCCTAAATTTAGCTAATGCTCGGCTTAGGTTCTTAAATTGCAATTTTCAGCCACAGCCCCCAAACAAGACGATGTCTGGTATTTTATTTCATTACTTAGTTATTCATCATTAATTTAAGAATTAATTAAATTTTCATTTGTCTTTAAATTTTTATTGAATTATAATAATAATCATTTAATATTCTAGTTGCTAATTATTTTATTATTGTAATAGTTATTTTATTTATTTTTATTTATTTATTCATCTTTCCTGATGGCCTTCCATAGAGCTCCAGCACTTCTAATTTTAAAAATTAAGTCCTGACTACAACCAATGATTGCGAAAATAAAAGTCAAGTAACTTATTTAGTGATAATTAAATAAAATAAAAGCCAAAGCTTTTATTTTCGCCTTACTTGGCTTTTATTATATATATATATATATATGTGTGTGTGTGTGTGTACTTTACATTTAATTATAAGGACATATTATATTATGTACTTTACATTTAATTACAATTTATTTGATATATATACGCATATATACGTTTGGTAATATTACCGATTGCAATAAAAAGGGAGGTGCACATCTAGATGTTATAACGGACCCATATACAAATAAAAAAAAGTGAAAGTCCTTCACTGTGTTCGTACGTACAGACGTCAGCCCAAAAAATAATTCACATGGATTCCGTAATCGTCAAAAACGGATATTTCCGTTAAAATATGATACCCAAAAGTTTTCTCGAAATCAATAATTACTACCATTTTATTTAATACAAGGAAGTAAAGTACCTATATTAACCTACATATTCTTATATAAACAATACCTAAGTGCAGTATATAAATATTTCAAATCAATAAAATCTGACTATGGCACGCTCAAGGAAAAAAAAAAAAAAAAAAAAAAAAAAAAAGATGAATCATCTAAATTTTCAAATTACAAACATAAATAGCAATAGTAAAAAGCAACTACAAAATAACGCTTCACGCTATCAAAATTGCTCATTTTCTTAAATATCAACAACTAAATAGTATTTTAACTAAAACACATAATGTAAACAAAAGTTTGCCTATGCCCAAAAAAATTCAAAATTATCTATGAAAAATATGAGCGCATTGTGAGGCAACCGTATCATTGGTATTCGAACAGCAACCGCATCATTCGTATTCGTATAGAAACCGCATCATTTGTATTCGTATAGCAACCACATCATTCCTACTCGAACAAACCGCATCGTACGACAGATGCGAGTAACGAAATGAATTTGTGAGTACCGAATCGGTACTTCGAGTCAACCGATGTACCCGTTACTCAGTAACGAATACATGCGATTTGCTCCAGCTCTATCTGCCGGTATTGAAAGAGTGTCATAAAAGTCTGATATAATATGCAGCAAGTGGAGGAACAAGTTACGTGTAAGAAAAAAAACTCAAATTTTGTATTTTTATTAAAATTACTAAATGTAAGTGCTTTTCATCAGCATTTGCTACATGAATTTTTATAGACATTAGGTTATTTTTTTGGAAGCAAGAGAGATTGAAAATATAGCAAATGCCTTCGCCAGGAATCGAACCAAGGACCTCTGAAATACCGGCTCAGCGTGCAGAACCACAACACCATGAAGGCACGCTAGGAAAGTGGGAGAAATACTTTATAAATTAAAAATAAGAATGAAATGTGAATCTGGATGCAAGTGATGAATCTTCAGCTGTTTTTTTCCCTCCTGTATTTTATTTTAGTTTTAATTTATTAATTATTTTCAGTTTCACTCCTCTGAAAAGCTTAAGTATCTCTATAGCATAGTATTAATTGCGTTTATTGTATAACAGATTTTAATATTAGAAGCTGCTACACTAGTAAATATGACTTAAGCTATAAAGTTTTATGAAAAAAATTATTTAAAAATAAAAGTCAATTTTAAATTATATAAAAAAAAGGATTTAAAGCAAAAGGTACAATTAAATGAAAAATATTTTATTTATTTAAGAAAAATCATGATTTCATATGCTTGATAATTAATTAAAAAAAGTTATACATGCTATATTCAAATAAGATTTGTGTTTATGAATCGGTAATAAATTATATTTATTTATTTATTTTATTTTCTCTTTTGAAATCTGACTGAAAAAGAAATCTTTCCATCACGATATTATGTATCCTACTAAGAATAATGCATCAGCTGAATATTTATGAATATCAGTAACTCTTACAAACAACATTAAATTGTGCTGAGTAAATTACATTGTTATTATGACTTATAATTTAATTATGTAATTTTCTCGTGTTCTGTTCTATTTAAAAAGTGTGCTAAAATTTTCATTAATAATATATTCTAATAAAAATGTATTGTATTAGAACTTCTGAATTTAATGTTACTTACCTTTGTATCATATTTTTAATATTCTGCAACAATTCTTTAATAATTTATTTTGTTTGTTTTGCTATTTAGATAGGTTTTGCAGGCATTGCTGTTGGTGCTGCTATGGTGAGTTCTACATACATTCTGAAATGCCCTTTCAAGAGTTAAATTATATTATTTGGTATGGAATATTAATCCTTAATCTAGCCCTTTGTTTATAGGTTTTTTTTTGGGCGGGGGGAGGTGTACGAAAAAATTTAGCCAATACTTTTAGTTATTTTATGTTTAAGAAAAAATTTACTTTTCATTTATTTATTTATTTCAGGCAGGGCTGCGACCTATATGTGAATTTATGACTTTCAATTTTTCTATGCAAGCCATAGATCATATCATCAGCTCTGCTGCAAAAACATTTTACATGTCAGCTGGAAAGGTAAAATATTTATTTGCTATAAATTATTAATTGTAAAATATGTGGAATTTTAGTTATTTTCATATTTGAACTGATCTTAACACTGAAGCTTTTACATCTCACCATTTTTATGAATCAGTTGATTATTTGGATTTATTTGGAACTTGAATTTATTTTTTACCTATAGTTCATCTGATATCTTAAATGCAACAATTATATATGTAAAATATCTGTATTCCAAATATTGAATTCACCTTTTAACTCCTGTGTTCTTTCTAAAAATAATAACATTTCTGGACTACGTCATTTCTAGATTAATCTGTGCCACGAAGCTTGCGTAACGTTGATGATGTAGTAATTGGGAACCTAAACTTTTATAACTCAAACCAAAATCTTCCTTTTCGTGAACTTCCACATTAAATAACTATGCACTTTAGCTTCTCTCTCTACTCTGCGAGGAAGTAATTTTGCTGCACTCACTTCCTAATGCATCAGTTTAAAAAATCTAAATGTTCTAAATAGGCACTACTAGAGTGCCAAGTGATTGTGGCCACAAATGTCAATTGGAAATAAAGATAGAATTAAAACTACCTCAACTGCCAAGTTCTTATTCTGTACAAATTCTATGTTTTAGGTATCAAGTACAGTCAAATGTCGTTAATTTGGACACCTATAATCCGGACCTCAAAGCTACAAACTTTCTGCGCATGCGTCGCGTTCACACATGCGCACAGGCGTTTCTGAGTGCATGTAAGACCTTTACGGCTGCGAATATGTTTGTGCGCATGCGCGTTTAATGTGTAACGGACGGTATAATCTAAGCTAAAATGATCTAATTCAGTTAATGTTGCAGATTGCGTTGTTCCTTAATCTTCGAATTGGATCCTTCTTATTATTTTTTGCAGACTGTTAGAGCAATTTCATAAAAGTAAGCTTGAACTTTTGATTATGTCAAATAGAGTTTCCGATATGTATTTACTAATATGTAATTTGTATCTACAAAGCGAAAGTATGTTTTGAAATCCGAAATCTGTTTATCAATTTCATGCCACGGATTGGAAGTTGATCTGTCAGCACTATCCTTATCTTCAGGGCAGATGTTTTTATTTTATTTGGCTTATAATTCCTTACTAAGTGTAGTATTTCATCTCGATGTACTCCGTCTTTCATATGATTTAAATCAAGTTCCTCGTCATTATAATTCGCTTCCGATAGTGAAAAAGAAAGGACCCAGAGGTTATTGAAAACGAAAAACATTTCGATTCACAAATTCGGTATTCTCAACACAGCAATTATAGGACTTGAACAGCGGAACTTTGTAACTAAACAAGAAATTATGTCTGTTTAATAGAATTAAAGAGAAAGTATTATCACATGAAACGAAGCAACTTACATTGAAGGAAATGTTAAATAAAGTAAACAAATAAATATTAAGCTTTTTCTTTTTGTAAATTTTGATATCTTTTAGATCATAATTGTTCTTTATTTCATAAATTATGGTTCCATATTTTTAATTTTGTAATTTCTGCATGCCATCTTACCAGATTTAAACTGATGATCTATAATCCGGAAAAATCGATAATCCGGAATCGCCGAAGTCCCGACGAGTCCGGATTAACGACTTTTGACTGTATCTTCATAATCAGCATTTCAAATCTTCTACATTATGTGTTCCTACATCAATACTTCTGAATTTTACTGTTATTACATATATATCTAATGATCGTAACTCTTTTAAAAAAAATTTGCACATATTTAGCGAAAAATCCATTTTACAATCTGTTTTGGAATAAAGAGTCCTTTATTTTATCTGTATGTACAGATTTCATACACGCACACACACATACACATACATTAAAAAAAATAAATAAAAAATAAAATAAAATAAAATAAAAAAAAAGGAACAGTCAGAAAGGGTGTTCTTGTTGAAAACCAGTAAACAAAACTTTTTGCAATTACAATACTTCCTTTACTTCATACATGGAAGTAAAAAAGGTACTTCCTGGTTATCTGCAGCCCCACCGAAAAGTATTCATATTAGGCAAAGCAATATGTCACCAAAATAGTTATATGGCAACCTGGTAAGTGTATAGCACATGCCCGTTTTGCTTGTATGCAATTGCTGCAGTTGTATGGATGCTGAGATATGCATTTCTCTGATTTTTTTAAAGTGAGAGCAGATTGCTGTGTACATGAGGAGAAACCAGTGTGGAAAAAACTTCTTGGAAAAGGTACATATTTTATTACCAGTGTTTCTTGTTTTTGAAATTTTATTGGTCGATTGCTCTTGTGTGAAATTTTTTGTGCACTGCCATATAAAAGGTAAAATGGTTTTTACCTTTTATACACTAACTTGGTGAAAAATTGGTTGTCATTGAGCTCACAAATGCTGTCCAATGTTGTCAACGAGTTCATGATTTTTTTGTGAAGGTGTGATTAATCACAAAATAAGTTTGATGATTCCCTCCCTCCCAAATTAAAAAAGAGCTTTTTTTTTTATATTAGGCAACTGAGTTATAACACAAATTCATTAACCTACCGTATTTTTCGCCGTATAAGACGCACTTTTTCTCCCCAAAATCAGGGGGGAAAGTGCCTGCGTCTTATACGGCAAATACAAAAGCCCACCATGGCCCTTCGCTGCCCCTCCACCTCTGCATACTTACCGCAGGAATACTCGGCCACTCCGTTCCCTTCCACCTCTTGGCGCCGTCTGAGATCAGGAACTCCCCCCCCCTGCCTCGCACTGTATTTGGACGGTCTCTGCCTCGCGCTGCGATTGGCTGAGCGAAGAGGCGCGTGCCTTCGCTCGCTCCCGCGCTGGCTTTGTGCACTTTTTAGAGTCTCGTAAGCCAGTGCCGGGGGAGGTGGAAGGCACGCGTCTCTTCGCTCAGCCAATCGCAGTGCAGGAGCAAGCGGAGGCGCGGATAGCTGTGAGCTGTGATATATGTAGTATGGTATATCTGAATGAAATATATCATATTTCATACCAACCCATCAAGGTGTCGAAGCAGAAGAGACTGGCCATATAAAGATGCTTTCAAGCTGGAAGTAATAAAATTTGCTAAGCATGGAAACAGAGCAGCGGAGAAGACACTTTGGGCCACCTCCAACTGAGAAAATGATAAGAGAGTGGAGGAAACAGGAGGATCAGCTCAACCAAAAGTTGGATAAAGCATTGCACTGCCCAGAGTTGTGTGCAAGGACACCTTGTGTGGACAACTGGCAAAGTGGCCAGAGTTAGAGGTAGAAGTAAGGTTGGTCACACGGCACTCGGCAAAAGGACTTTCTGTCTCAACAAAAATGATAATACTATGAGGCCAAACGCATTGCTGTGGAGAAAGGCAATTCAGATTTCTTTCCACATCGTGGTGCTATTTATAAAGAGCCTGGCCTTTCTATGCGCACCAAAACCAGAATTGCCTAAAAATCTGGAATACGAATCAAACATTCGGTCCTTTTCAAAGTTGTTAAGCTATCTTTAAATGTTACAAATGGGGACATTGGATGATCTTGCTAACGTTAATTGCCATCGACAGAACCGTTATATAAAACCCCCCCTTTACATGGTTTGACATAATTTTTACTGCTGTTAACTTATACTTATTTTATTACAACAGAATTTTGGTTTTTTTTTTTTTCTAGATTTGCCTCCTTTAAAATTGGGTGCGTCTTATATGCCAGTGCATCTTATACGGCGAAAAATACGGCATATGGAAAATTTTTTTTAACAAAATGCAATAAATACATTCTAATTACTTTTGTGTGATGATTTTCTTAAAAATATTCTTTAATTGTATGTAAGGATTATTAAAGAACGTGCAAAAACCAAAGCAATACCTAAAAGGTAGATTTGGGTTGCAGAGGCTTAGTTTAAAGTGCAGTTCATTATATGATTAAATATTAATATTTAGTTGCTTAAAACATTGCTGTTTAATATATTTAAATTTTTAACCATGTCTGAATCTGTGTATCAAATAATTTGTTCCATTTAAAATGCTACAAAGTCATTTTTGGCTAATTCATACTTTAGTACTTCAAATTGTAAGATTCTACAAGAAATGTGGTTGAAAGACAGTTGCTTACAATAAATGTACTATATGGAGTCGGTAACATTTTTAATTTGTTAAAGAAAATGAAGAAATATGATAGCTAACAAATGAAATGTAACTTTATTTGGGGGACCATAAAATGATTTCTAAATGACTAAACTTGAAAATAGGGATATTTTCAAAAAGAAATATGATTGTAGTTAAAAATATTGCCAGATACAGGGTGTCAATAATTAAAGAACCATATTTCAAAGTTTCCTACAAGTGAAACTGGTGATAAGAAAATTGTGAAATTTGTGGCGGACTTAATGAAGGGATGAGAATTTCTTTCAGCGGAAAAAAAAAAAAAAAAAAAAAATAGTTACAAATAGTGTCCCCAGAGATTGCTGTTCACAGCTGTTTTACTTTGAAAACCTGTAGTAAGAATGTTATGCAACAGCTGTTATAAAACCCAGAAACATTCTCGGAGTCTCTGTTTTCAGTGTGCTTGTTGCTCACTATGATAATAAGTTGACAAGATCACACATTGTTAGTAAAATTGTTTTTCTAACACAATAATTCTTCAGTATTTGCTTTATGGAAATTTCAGAGTTTGAAGAGAATTTGAAAAGGTCCACTGAATCTTAAAAAACTTTCAGAACATGAAAACAAAATTTGAAGAAAGAGGATCATTTTCTGTTTGCCCTGGAAGAGGAAGAAAACCTGCTTCTACAGAAGCAGTAAAGGAGGTTGCACTTCAGGTCACAGAAGACACAGCTTCAAACGTTCAGGCTAGCACCAGTGTCCGACATATAACAAAGGCATTGTATAGACTATATTCAACTGTCCACAAGATCTTGCGGAATATCCTCCGATATTATCCTTACAAACTTTCACTAGTGCATAGGTTGCTCCCACATGATTTAACATTTGACTGTGGTTCTCACTTCAGTTTCTTGTTCGCTTTGAGGTTGATTCAGAATGGCCTAG